TACTGTGGTTGAGGAGGGAGTGAGAGGGAGGGAGGGTGGGAAAAATGTAATCTACACCAGTGTAAATTAGCATAATGTCTTTAATATTTGTTGAATTACTCAGGATTTATATGTGTAACACTTGGAATTTGGCTTGTTAATTTGTGTTTATAGCATAATAAAAATATGTTTTAAAAAAGGATTGTAGTAATGAGATGTCAAGACTATACAAGGCCTTATGTTGAGACCTTAGTGAATTCTGCTTGAAAGTAGACAAAGCCTCTTCTAACCTCTTCCTCTAAATGTCCCCAATTTTGCCATATCATTTATTATTAGAGAAGATTACATTGTTATTTCATCCCTTAACAACACAAGCGATGCATCAGAGTGTTTGATGTCTCTATAGTTGCTTGGAGAAGGAATAACCAAGATGAAGCCCAGACAATAACCTGGGTAGAGAAGAAAGCCCAAGGGTAATAAAAGCAAGAAAGTCACAAATTCCCTTTAATCTTCAGATACATACTTTCGTAAAGTTTCAGGAGCTAGGCTTAAGGGGCTACTAAGATTTACCTGAAGTAATGATACGATGAAAGAGGCAGAGTGGAAGAAATTATTGACAAGAGTGCTGTTATGTTGCAAGAACAGGCAAAAGATGAAAACTATGTATATTTGCATTCTCAGATTCTTTGATTTAAACCATTATGCTGCTGGGAAAACAATTTATTCAACCTCCTATCCCTAACTATGATTTTGAAAAAACCCTCAAAAAACAAAACACAGCTATCTGGAGAACCCAATATAAAGTCTGCAGCTTCGTACCCTCAATAATTTTGCATTACAAACAGCATGATTCTATCTGCCAATTGTCTGAATTTCGTTCGCAAGTCAGCTAGAACACACCCAACAAAACAGTAAGATTTTTAAAAGTCCAACAACTGATTAAGGAATCTACTCAACTTGAGATTGCCATTGGAATTCATGCCAATATTTCTCTAGCATTCTAATCTACAATGAAAATGGTGTTTGCAAAGAGGGGCCAGTTGAATGCCTCTGCCATATGTTTATCTCCTTGCTGGATACTTTTAAGCATCCCATTTTGTGTGGGCTATTCTGTATTTGGGAGCAGACAATCATATTCTATGTTGGGTCAATACAGGACACCTTCGATGCCATATTTTTTATTCATTGTCAAATCACAGGGAATGCCAGGGGTTCTGTCACAACAACACTGATCCTAAACATTTGATATGCAGCAAAATGTCCTCATATCACATGACTAATGCAAGAGGGTGCATTTGTTGTAAGTGCGGGTGGCATTCACTGTCCCTGCACTCAGCTTCCCAGGCTATGGCCACAGAGTAAAACACGAGGTAGGTGAGAGTTTAGGGCTCCAATGAAAACTGAGATGTTGTGGGAGTTGAGAACTTTTGCAAGAGGAGTTTATCACATGAGGTGTGTAGAACCATCTCATTTAGTTCAATGCAGTTAATCTGCATTTTATGGCTTCCAGACAGTATTACATGGCAGTAAAGATCCAGGCTAAGGACTTTGTCACAGTGGACACTGGAATCACCACGCATCATGGTGAATCTGACTACGGCCATCGGGGGACGTGGGAAACCTGGCAGGACAATCCCATGGGGGAAAGGATTGATTATCTGGCTTCCCCTCCTTTATCCAAGGCAACATGCTCCACTTCACCACCCTTTTAAGCACAAGCCCTTCCAGAAGTAGGAGGGCATCGTGTAATGGGAGCCTGTCTGATGAGGTAGTAACTGAGGCTCCCACAGATTGCTTTGGCTTGAATCTTCCAGGAAGGGAAATATTGCCCCATACCTGCTGAATTAACTGAATGCAAACTACTTTTGCACTTTGAATTTGTCAGCATTTGGAGCTGAGGAAGAGAGAAAAAAATGAAACAATTTAAAAGGAGCTAAAATCGGGATGACAGAGACATAATTAGGTCCATCCTGACAATTTGGGACAGTTGGAGGGTATCATATGGGACTATGTGTGGAGTAATATGAAAAACCGCTCCCCAAATCAATTTTGTCACTTTATATAATTTATATGCAATCCACTATCACATCCACTTAAAAGTGAGTCAAAGGCAAATTACTCCACAATGATATGCCAGAGTCATATTGTAGAGAAACAAGCTGAAAATAATTTGCCAGCTCCAAAAAAGGGGAGGTGAAGTGTACTTTCTTCGAAATCTCTGTGAGAATTTTTATAACTTTTTGAATATTTTAATATTATTACTCAAATGTAGTACATTTAGTGTCAGTGTTTCACTTCCCACAGGAGGAGATAATTGACATGAAGTGACACTAGTATCTGACATATAAAAGCATCTGGTGTTTGACAGTATTTGACATTAGACAGCCAACAATTTTTAATAAGTGCTGTCTTATTATACATTCAAAATTTTATTTAACTAGTCAGGAAGTTATTCTATTGACTAGAAAACGCACGAACATGCACACACAAACAAACAATAAATTTCCACAAGCAACTACATTCTGAATGTACTACATTTTGCCCTAGGCACTCTCTTGATCTTCTCTTCACAAAGACCTGCTCTTCTTCCTGTTCAGTATCTAGACCTCCTTTTACATTGCACACAGACAAACTCCCTTCCTTTCCGTGACCTCTTCCAGTTCACTGATCCAGCCATCTTCTCTGAAGCATGGTTTTTTGTTCTCCCCTCTGCTGCTTCCATCTGTTCCCCAGACTTTGCAGTTGCCACTTTCAATTCATCCCTTTATCTGTTTACCAGCTCTTGGTATGCCCTCCCTACTCTTCTCTGTTACTATTTTGCCCTTTCGTTCTTGCTGTTTTCATTCAATATTTTAACTCATGCGCTTGTTCTGTTGATTGCCTCTGGAGAGAATGAGGAATTACCTTAATTCATCATAAATCTTCTCCCCTTCTCATCAACATTGGTTCAAACGAAACGAAACCCTTTTGCTCCACATAAACTCTAGAAAGTTCATAATCTCTTCCTTCCCTTGTAATGTTTGTCCCATTGAATCACTCTCTTCACTCCCAATTCAAGATGTTTATACTTTCTCCAATGCAGAAAATGAAATTTTTCACTATGCACTTTCTTCTGCTTCCTCTTCCTTCCCTTTCACCTTGTTTACAGTATGTCTGTCTGGTACTTACACCTTATTAAGGGTGGCTAAAAGCTATCAGTACAATAATACAATACAAGTTGAGTATCTCTTATTCAAAATACTTAGGACCAAAAGTATTGCCTATTTCAGATTTTCTTGGATTTTGGAATACCTGCATATGCATAACGAAATATCTTAGAAATTGGATCCAATCTAAACATGCAATTAATGTTTCGTGTACATATACATTGCTTTACCCAATATTTTAATAATTTTATGCATGAAATGAAGTGTGTATACATTATGTACATTGAACCATCAGAAAGAACAAGTGTCACTATCCCAGCCGCCCTTGTGGACAATTTTAGATTTTGAATTATGTTGGATTTCAGAATTTCAGTGAAGGTATACTCACTCAGCCTGTTCAGTAATATATCAAAAACACCACATTGGGATAATGGCAGTTCACAGCCATTTATAAGATGACTACCCAACAATCCATGATTAACACATAAGATGGAAGGATCACAAATCAAAGTCAGAAACATGGATAGACCTCCAAACTATCAGTCCACCAGAAGGTTAATTACTTTCTGCTTTGGATGGGGAGAGAACAGACAATCTGTAACTCTGGAGACCTGGGCCATGTTTAGCTGTTAGAAGGAAGGAAACATTCTGAGGACAGTGAGTACTTAGGGCCTTATATAGACTGTTTTGTTAAATAATCACATTCTTTTGACCATTTTTGATTGATAAGTTTTTTGCTTAAATGAACAATGGAAATTCTACAGTTCCCCAGATCTTTTTACTGGCTATGCTGGCTAAAGCTTGCAGCATAACAACTCCCATGGGAAAACGGCTTGTAACTATCATAACTACAATATACTTACTACGGTGAATGGGACTTGTTAAATATGCTACAAAACTAAAGTACTTTTGAAATATCAACCCCTCACAATTGCCTTGTCTGATGCCTGTGCGTTGTTATCAGGTTTCTTTGAGATTAGTTAGAAACAACTTCAAGGGCTCTTTTCTAATGATCCTTTATCTTTCAACCAGACTTGGACTGGACATCAACCCAAAGTGAGGGAATAATTTTCTGTAAGGCAATAGAAGTGTCCAACTTAACAGTAACTGACTTAATTCCACAGTCTTTGTACTTTTAAAATCTGTTTGTAGTTTTAAAAAATATAAACACAACAATCAAATGCACCCAACAGCACTTATTATCTGAATGCAGGGTTGCTGAGGATAATGGCATAGAAGGGAAAAAGTAAATTGGTATTTTTGTCTGTGTATACACACATAGATGAGAGTTCACATAACTGCCCTGATATGCTAACAAATGCATGAGAGGAAGAGAGGGCCCATGCTCCTCAGCCACAGACCCTGTGCATCATTTCCCATACAGCCATATCCACAACTACATGGGTGTTCAACATTAACACAGAGCCACTTTACACATGTACAGATGTATGTATGGAGGGCATACAACCGGTAAAGGGGAAATCCTGAATTATCACTGATCAGGGAATCTAATGGTCCAGTTGAGACCCTAAATTGTTAACACAATTGAGAGTTGCTGGGAACTCTATGATGGAAATAATACAAAGATTTGTGGGGGAAGCTGACATGTCTTCTGCCCATTTCTGCAAAAAGTACCGACTCCGGTGAGAGTAACCTTTTTAACCATCAAGAAAATACTGATTTCATAGAATCATAGAATCAAAGAGTTGGAAGAGACCTCATGGGCCATCCAGTCCAACCCCCTGTCAAGAAGCAGGAATATTGCATTCAGATCACCCCAGATTTGAATGCTGAACAAAAGCACAACATAGGAAAACCACATTTTTGAAAGAATAATTCACTTCACAAAATGGAAATCTCAATAATGGAGCCTACCTGTACAAGGCAGATGCTGTTCTCTTCAGTCCTTTGGGTCTGTTTGGCTTTGGTTCTCCAGCCATATTTATATCTGTAATAAATAATAAACTGGAATAAATGTTCTGCCATTCTTTTTCTGCTTGTATTATAGGACACAATTTAAACTGCGTTGATCATGTGTTTTGTAACAAAACCATTACAGCTTTTATACTAGTTGATGTCCATTTGCATACCACTGTTGGTTTTACAGCTGATCCACCCACAGCTACATGTGGTTGTATGAGAGCTGTCTGGGTTTTGACAAACGTTCAGCACCAGGGAATCTCCCATGTAACCAAGAACAGCTATGGGAGGTGTATCCATAAAACAGAAACTGAATGTTGTGACCCCAGAGCAGAAGACTCATCAACTGTCCCTGCTTCTAAGCAGGTTTGAAAGATAGTCAATATTACATCTGCACCAGCAGATGAAAGGGAAATCATGTTTTGTTAAGAAAACAGCATGGAAACATCTCATCTTAATCCATTATATGCAAAGAAGCAGACAAAGGAAAGAGGGAATACACAATGCAGTTTTTAAACAAAACAATAACCCATGACTGATTACTATATCTCAATGGAGTCTTTTTCTCTCGTCTCTTTTCCCCATTTCATCTCAAACACCTCATACCTTGAGCAAAGCCCTAAATAGCATTGGTTCAGAAAAAAAAATATATGTAAAGGATATCACATGCAAGAAAGCATGGGTATTAGATATGCTCTTACAATCTGCCTCCATTTGACTGTAAAACAAATGCCAAAAGTGGAAAAGGTTGATTTGGGTGCAGAAACATGCCTGAAGTCATCTGATGTGACCTCCCAGACAGTTTTCATTTGAGGAGACTTGGGAGAATGAAATGTTTTGATCTGCCAAGAAAATTCCAGTCTTAAGCTTTTATAGTAAAGAGGTGGGTGAAACTTGAGTTTAGAGCGGTGTCACCAATTTTCACTGCCTGTGCGGAAACTGAACAAAGTAATGCCAAACACACAGACATTGTTTTACAGATGGAAAGATAATGTATCCTCCCATCCAACTTTTTTTTGTAGTTGGAGCAAGGGGGGAATACCTCATGACCATTTATTTCACCAAGCATTATGCAAGTTTCATCTTGTTTCAATACCATTTTTCAACATGATGTGGCCTGATAAGAACAATACTGTAGTACAGTAAACAGATACACAAACAAAGCCACAAACAAAGAGTCCCAATCTTGAGGGGTAAGCAGTGTGTATGCGCACGCGTGTGTGTATAATAAAGGTTTTGACCTAAAATGAATTCTATATTTGATTTTGTAGATAGGCAGATAGAGAGATTAAATGCAGGATATATATTGCTCCAAGTACAAAAAAGTCATTTAATAGAGCAAATTACAATTTCACAATAGAATGAAAGTTTTGAAGTTTAAAGGAAGGTAGAAACCTAGAAGTCATTTTTCCCCCTTAAATGTTTAAATCCTCAGGTCTGCAATTAAGCCACACTCTAAGATGGAAAGTGCAGACTCACTGCATTATGGATTACTTACTTACTTAGGCGATCCCTCGTTGGCCAAGTAGAATAGTCTTCCAGGATCAGAATTCTTGTGAGTCTGTAGGTGGCTGTGGAGCCCTATTCTTGATCTGCATCTTCTTCCGCAGTGAGGGCATTGGTTTTCAGGTGGAAGGCGGTCCCAGTCGGGGTTGGCTTGAGGGCAAAAGAGAGAGGTTTCCCTCCATTCGTGCCTCTTCAAATTCTGCAGCACTGCTGGTCACAGCTGACCTCCAGCTGGAGTGCTCAAGGCCATGGCTTCCCAGTTCTCAGTGTCTATGCCAGAGTTTTTAAGGTTGGCTTTGAGCCCATCTTTAAATCTCTTTTCCTGTCCACCAACATTCCGTTTCCGTTCTTGAGTTCGGAGTAGAGCAACTGCTTTGGGAGATGGTGGTCGGGCATCCGAACAACGTGGCTGGTCCAGTGGAGTTGATGGCGGAGGACCATCGCTTCAATGCTGGTGGTCTTTGCTTCTTCCAGCACGCTGACGTTTTTCTGCCTGTCTTCCCAAGACGTTTGCAGGATTTTCCAGAAGCACACTGATGGAATCGTTCCAGGAGTTGCATGTGACGTCTGTAGACAGTCCACGTTTCGCAGGCATATAGCAGGGTTGGGAGGACAATAGCTTTATAAACAAGCACCTTGGTATCCCTATGGATGTCCCGGTCCTCAAACACTCTCTGCTTCATTCAGAAAAATGCTGCGCTTGCAGAGCTCAGCCGGTGTTGTATTTTAGTGTTGATGTTGACTTTGGTGGAGAGGTGGCTGCCAAGGTAGCGGAAATGGTCAACATTTTCTAATGTTACACCATTAAGCTGTATCTCTGGCATTGGAGAGGGATTGGCTGGTGACTGCTGGAAGAGCACTTTGGTTTTCTCGATGTTCAATGACAGGCCGAGCTTCTCGTATGCTTTTGCAAAGGTGTTTAGAGTGGCTTGTAGATCTTCTTCTGAATATGCACAGACAATGTTGTCATCGGCATACTGGAGTTCTATAATAGATGTTGTTGTAACCTTGATTTTGGCTTTCAGTCTGCTGAAGTTAAACAGCTTGCCATCTGTTCGATAGGTGTGTAGGTAGCACATAGCATCTAGCAAAGCTTACTGGGATTAAGCCAAAAGGGGCATCCCTGATCTGGAAATGGACTAGAAGGAACTGAGAAGGAATATCTTCCTCTTGATAGAGCTTTTTTCTTTCTTTCAAAGCAGGGTAAACTGATAAACAGCAGCCTTTCTGTCACAAGGAAAAGTTTGTGTCTTATAGAAGTACTGAAGAGACTTTTTCATCTTTAGATAGTTAGAACTGATGTAGCATTCATCATGACATTCCTTAAAGCTGCACCATAAGGACAGTTAAAACACTGAAAGGAGCAGAAAGAATTCTGCCTGAAATCCTGGAGAGCTGCTGTCCATCAGAGTTGATGATATGATCTGAATGATCCAGCAGCCTGACTCAGTATATGGCAACTTCCTATGCTCAAGTAACATAGGTCTGCCCTGGGAACTCTATCTACACCAGGCATGGGCAAACTTGGGCTCTCCAGGTGTTTTGGACTTCAACTCCCACAATTCCTAACAGCCTCATGCCTCTTCCTTTTCCTCCTCGGCTGCTTAAGCTGAGGGGAAAGGAAGGGCCCGAGGCTATTAGGAATTGTGGGAGTTGAAGTCCAAAACACCTGGAGGGCCCAAGTTTGCCCATGCCTGATCTACACCATCTTAAATACACAAACAAACTTGTGTTGGTCCATCAGTGGAAGAGGCATTTCTGATTCAACTGCTTGGTTGTAATCCTTCTTTTATCATTGTTATCTTCACTTCACTTCCTTGTATTTCTGTATTTCAGACTCTTGTGTCTTCTATGCAGTTGTGCAAGAACAGTATAAGTGGAGTCTTATAAATACTAAATGACTTGATTTCTTCACAGGAAGAGGCATTACTGATATAATGGATTCTTTCTTTCCTTACAACCACCTACAGACTATAAGGTAGCTTCAGAGATTGTGGGGACCCTTTGGAACAAATCTGGAGGAGTTCAGGAAAGCAAGATGTTGGATATCTCTCAATCAGTAATTGCATCTTATATACAATGCAATATTGAAAGCATTCAGTTTCCAATAATATCCAACTTTTATATACCTTATAAAAATGAGATGTATGTGGCATTATGCATGATCTAAGTTTAGCTGCGCATAAGGAGAAACAAAGAGCAGTATTTTCAGCAATACCGCTCAACCCAAAAAGAAAAAAAAATGCTGCTAAGTAAATTATAATGTCTTCTAAAGAAAATAAAAGAAGGCCAGTTCTGATTTCAAGTTGTTACCCAGGGTGGGAATAGATTATGAACCACTCTACGCAAGCCTGTCTAGCACTCCTGCTGCCTTCAATATCACGACCACCCACTGGGAGATCAAAAATGCCAATTTCTGATGGAAAATGCTATCTTCAACAACAATTCTCAGTTTGTCTCTGGTGACAAGAGCTTCTCAGCAGGTGACATTTCAAAGCACAGCACAAAAAAGGTTACACTGAGAAACAGTATATTTCAGGCAAACAGGTAGTGAGGCAAAGCTGATACTATTCCAGGTGGCTATCTTGAGCTCCTTTGGATATTTGCAGTGGAGGATTGAGTCCAAAAAGTTAGTGATCACAACTCTAGAGAAACACATAGAAAAGCATTGATATTTTACTTATGATTAAAATGAATGGTATGGGCTAAACAACTCATTGATTGGCATCCTGTCTGTGACACATGCATGGAAATTTATATGCATGTTTCCATAGGTCAGAATTCTTCATCTAGTTGCTGCATTTTAGTAGTGTTGGCATTGAGAGGATGGTGAAGCGCTGGAGAAAAACAGATTTTGGTTATGGGTTGCTGCAGTGTACCTGCAGTAAGCATTTCAATAAAACTTGAGATGGGAAAGTATGGAATTCTACCATTGCTGTGCTTCCCTACAACAGTTGAAGTAAATACCAAAATATCTCCAGAATCCCTCCCTGAGCCTTCTTGAACCATAAAACAGAGAGAAAGAGGAAGAACAGATTAGCTTCTCTCACCAGCATGTTTTTTAAAAAGCATAGATTTATGGATTTGGTCAGCAAAATGGACACCGTTATAAAACTGGAGACTGGTGCAAAATAAAGCATGTTGGAAGAAGCTTTTGAGTAGTTTTTTGTTTACATATGCAAGGAGAACCTGAACGAATTCATTCTACATGCACACAGTTCAGGAGATAGTTTTTCTGAAAAACGTTGATGTGCTCTTTTCTTTTGTGGTTAAAAGTGTATTCTCATTCTTCCCATACTATTAGTATTTTTGCCTCTGGTACCAAATATTTTATTTAAAAGTAATGTTTGGGAACACATTCAGGTGTGTGTTCTGCATTCTGAATACTGCAACATGGGAAGCTATTTGTGAACATCTTGTTCTGATGAGACTCTGGTACGTCCCAGCATCATTAACTGTGCTGAGGCTTATTGCTTTTTTCCTTGTGGATTTTTCTAGGGCTCACTTGATAGATTGAATGAT